AATGTCAAATCTCTGGCACCTTTTCTCAATATAAAGTTAATTTGTCTGGAAGTTACAATCTCGCATAATAAAAGTATTTAAACAGGAAGAGTCATTAAGCGATAGAGGTTCTGGTGTTAAAACTTCATACAAGAAATACAGTAACGTCAAAGTGACTTATGGAAACCTAGATTTTTACCCGATACCATTTCAAGACTTCTTTTTCACCTCAGCCTGCATCTTTTCTTTTTATCTTGCCAACTGCACCTGGAATACAAAATCTCACTTCATAACTTCACTTTTGTTTGCTTCCGTACTTTTGGAAACTTTCAACACTCAATAATAGGTAAAAATATCCAGATTTTTTTATGTCCTATACTTCCAAAATGTATTTAACACTTTAATACTGATGTAAAGCAGTTACTACATAGTGAATGTACAATGCCTTCTGTTGAATGTTGCAATAACCAGAAGTGAAGGAAGTTAGGGTTCCATTATACTGTTGTTTTAAGTCCATCCTCATTAGCCCCCCTGGCTCAGCTGATTATTGCGGTACCATTGTTTTACAGAGCTTGGCAGCGTTGGCTATTTTATAACGAAGGTGAATGTTCAATTAAGATAGCTTTTTTTGTATAATGAGCCCTGAGAACTTGCGTTTTGTATGGATTAATCTGGAAGTGCACAAAACACCAACTGGACAAGGAGCTTATTGGGAAAAAAACCCAGCATTCTTTTGCAGGAGGAGCATTTCCATTGTATTGGCTTCAGGTTTTATCATATACTGATGACACTGCAGCTTCCAGTCCAATAGAAGCTGATTTATAGGCCCCAGCGGCAGGGTCATTTCATTTCCATGTATAGCCGGATCATTTTGATTATATACTGCTCATTTGCGCGTCGCTGTGGCCTCAGAGAGCTGCAAAAGTGAATAGCAAAGCACCACCAGATGTTTATGGCCATAAATTACCAGTGTGAGATAGCCAACCTGCTCTATGTAAACGCAGCGAGCTCAGCATTTGACTGAATGGAGATGTCGCGTGTGTGTTTTCCCTTTTGCCCATTTTTTATCTGAGAAAATAATAAGTCTAATAATAAGTCCTAAAAGTAAAATGTGTTTGTATATAAATTACTTGGGCAAGGAATGACAAACAAACGTAATGACAAATGAAATGTCCAATGTTAAAGTAAACCCCAGGGCAGCGGCAGGTCTTTATAGGCACAATAGAATGTGTTCTTACGGCCTCAATCAGGAACTATACCTATAAATCATGGGTTGCCATTGAATTTACCTGAAAAATATACGTATATTTGAAAACATACTGCTGAAAAGAAAATGCTGCTGCTCAGACTGAGGTCATTATTGTGGGTTGCCTGCTGCAGTTTAGGAAGAGACAAAACCCTGGATTTCACCAAAGAAACTGGCAGCTTAACTGTAATGTTTATGTAGGAAGACAAGGGCTGGGGCTCAAATTTGATATGTGAACATTGTACAATAAAAGTAATCAGTAACGCCAGGGTATTTAAACCCAAAACAAAACTATGTAATGTCCTAAGGCACACACGGTAAATTTATAAATTAAGAGGCGTGTTCCATTACTATGCAGATTTATTATGCCAACACCTGGACCCACATCGAAAGGGCAGGCAGCTGAGGCAGAGGCTCAGAGGCATCAGAGGAGACGTGACCCATTAGAGCGCGCAAAATACAATCAATACTAATACAGATACATTTTGCTAAATAAAGGTGAAGGGCGCTACGTGTATTCCAGTGATGTACGGTGAGGTTGGTGATTGGCGAGGCACCGACTATACCCCAATCAGATGTCGATGGCTTTTAAATCATCTTAAAATGTGTTAATATGTATTTCAGCCAAACTTATAGCTGCCCTGAACAAGAAATGACGCTTTCTGATGGAATTATGCAACCGAATCCTGGGTTCACAAGCCCCCCCTACCCTGATGCAGGTCTCACTTGGTGACATTACAAGCCGTGGTTGAGCGTGATAAAGAAGGTTTCAAATAAGGCCGCACATCCCTATAGTCTCAACTAGCGTGCAGGATTAATAAGTGCAAAATGTGAAAATAGTGAACAATCCGCACATGGTCTGTAAATACACCCATATTTGTTTTCAAAAACACAATTTATGACCCATTCTCTCAACTTTAGACGTGTTGAAATATGTTTGAACTTTGTAAACTGTGATAAACAAAGACACAGTTCGATAGCACCATACGGGCTTCTCCCACTGTGAGCCGTAGGCTCTGTCAAATATGAGAAAAGTATGACGAAAATCTGCTAAATATATTAAATAAAGCAAAGTTCCATTGAAAAAATACAATAGCACAAATCACATGATATAGTGACCAAGTATTATTGTTTCCATTTTCTTTTCTTTTTTTCTTTCCATGATCGTAGGTGAGGCCAGGCCTCACCTGCCTCACCAGGTATACTCACGGAGATGGAACCGGAAGACTGAAATGTGTGTGGCATAGGCAGAGGCACAATGGGGTAACTTTATACAACCATGCACTTTGTGCTGGTGGCTACATAGAGCCAAATCACCACATTAACATAAACAATATGGCCATCTTGTCTACTGCATTGTTCATGAAGAAAAATGTGCATTATAACAACTACAACAACAACAGCAGCTAAATATTTTGGCACAAGTTGTAGCAGTATTAATGACACAACAACATCAGTGTAAATTGCTTATCGTTGCTCTGATGATCTGGTATGTGAGACTTGCTGTCAGATAGCAGAGGTGACTGAAGTCCCAGATGAAATAGCATGCCAGGCTGCTTTCTGCTTAGATGTGATAAGAGAGGCTCCTCCACCGCGTGCTGCTCACTGGAACAGCCCCTCGCTGAAGCTCAGAGGTGGCCCCCGCTCTGAAAAGGTCACACTGCAAATGTAAAGATTGCAGAAAATATCAAATCATTGTAGAGAACCTTTTGTACTCAGTGTGAATTGCTAGATACATTTGTACTTTGGCCTCGCAGGATACTGTTCATTATGAAGCTTTGACTGAAGAGGCGGTGGGTGCAGTCGAGAAGCTACTAAGTAGCTTGGATTTTCAAATTCATCCTATCTCTCTGCCATGTGTACTTATTTGACCTTTTTATTATAAAATGTAACAGATTGCAGATTGTATTTTGTGATAATATTGTACATGGAGTGTGCTTGGTCAGCCAAATGTACGCTTGCAGATGTGGCTGCTGAGGCAGAGGTTTTGAGGCTGGTTACAATGGATGTGCACTAAATGCATTGTGTGCTTGTGTGTGTTTATGCATGTGTGCGCATGTGAGTGCTTTTTAATATGTGCGTGTTCACGTTTTCCCTGTAGGACATGACTTCTTCATAGGGACATACTGTCGACCCAAATGATTATATTTGAAGGTTAAGAGTTGTTTCCAGGTTTAGGAGGCTGCTTAGGCCTTTCTGTAATGTCCCTTAAACTAACCTCATACTGTACAAGTGCAGTGCGAGAAGAGCAGAAGTGTGAACCAGGTCCCTCTGGGCTTATGGCTGCAGTGCTGCTGAAGATAAGGCAGTCTGATGTCTCCTGACATGGCCAATGATTCATAATTGAGGCAGGACAGCTGTTGCTGCAGCACTGACAGGTCCCAGGGCGGTGACAGATGATAGGACCCTCTGGGGCAGCACTGTGGATCAGTCCAAATGTTCCCTGTCCTCGGTGTCTCCTCACCTACAGTAATCCTCTCAATAATCAAGTCATGTGCATCTGATCCCCAAGATCCAATCTCACTAACAGCTGTACAATGATGTCAGTGTCATTATAACACCAATTTAAACATGTGTTAAGTGTTAAGTGTTAAGTGTTAAGCACAAAACCACCATACATGTATCTGTTGTTTTTAAATAATAATAAGTACATTAAAAACGGCATAGACATACAATTAAGTTTGTAAATGTTGCCATTGTTTTTAAATGTGATCATACACATGTAAGTTATACACAAAACATTTTCACAAAACATTGAATAACTACAGATAATCTAGATGTGTAATGTGTAATTGTGATACAAATCCAATCAGTCACAGCCAGAGCTGCCCCTCCATAAGCAGGTCAGCGTAACCTCTACGCTGAGCTCTGTCCATTAGCCCCTGTGCACTCAGCGCCTGCTCCCTTCAGCTGAATGACAGCCTGTCAACGGGACCAAATGTATTCTGCTGCTGTTGCAATTGCACATTGTGCTCATCTCACCAGTCTCAGCTTTTCCAGGCTGCTGCACTAAAACTCCTGCTCACTTATTACCTCTGGGACCAGGGCCTGCGGGGGGCTTGCCTTTTTCTGCCTCATGGCATTGGCCGACCTCGGCCCACTGCCTAAGACTGCATTAGCTTGCACAGCTGGTGTGCATCACACTACAGGCTTCAAAAAGACCTGTGAGACTTTGGAGCATTGGAGTTGATTGTATTTCAGGATTTAGACAGAAAGAGATTCCTTAAGAAATAGTAGTTTAGCTATGAAATAATAAGTAATGAAAACTTGTGCTTTATTGCTCATAACCATTAGGTGTGGAAAAGCATGCTGTGCTTATGGCTCTGTGGGGAAAGAATCAGATGTTGCTGTGAAATGTGTCAGTACTCCATTATACAGACAGTTTAACTGCGCTTCGCTCTCCTGAGATTCTCACACCAGATTTTAGTGCAGATGCTGCTCGAACCTGTTGAAGACATAAAACGCTGCTGTCATAGTGGCTCCTGGCTCAAGGAGAGCACAAAGGCATTATAATTTATATGTTTTCACCCTCTTGACAGCTACTCAAAACATCCATCTTGTAAAATTAAAGGAAAATATTTTACAATAAAACACAACCATGAGCCAAACAATACAATCTATTATTTTAAACAGTCCCTGCTCATAGTATTAACAATGAGTGATAAATTGGACATCTACATTGGCTGCTGCTGTCATATTGTTGTACTATAAAGACGGACAAGATGGTTTGTGTGTCTGTTTGGCTGACACACAAACTCCCTTTGTGTATTTCCAGGTTGTCAATGTGAGTGTTTTGGCCGGGGACCAGGTGACTGTGGAGGACACAGGTGGCAGAGAGCCCTCCATCCTGGCCAACCAAACAGTGCTGTTGCGAGGCCTTGTAATGCGCAGCTGGAGCAACCAAATCTCAATCCGCTTTCGGAGCGACCAACAGTCAAACCCTGGATTCCTCCTACTGAGCTACCAAGGTGAGACGCTGAGAAAGCTGACAGCATTTCAAGACTACATCCACTAAATTTACACATTTTACAGGCTGGAAACTCTTTATGCCTGCTCAGTGAAGCAGCGTGTATTCAGAACTGTTTGATGGTGATTTTATTTAAAGGTTATGCTGGATAATATTCTGTTGGCAAATTATATTTAAAAAAGTAAGTACAAGATCATTTTGTCTTAAAGTAAAACTTGGACATACTTAAATTAGACCTTCAGAAGCACCGGCGCTCCCATTTCAACAAACTTGCAAAATCTACTAAATTAATGAATAATACCTTATTAGTCAGTCCCTCAGTGGAGCATTTACACATAAAAACCTAAAAGTAAAGTAACAATTCTAAAGGAAAACTTATTTTTCAAACACAAACACAAACTGAGTAAAAAAATCAAAACAAATAACACATTTAATAACAATTACACTACAACAGGCCAATGCAAAACTGTAAGAAAAATAAAAAACGCTTGTGTGCACTTGTTCTAAGAATCTGTATTTTAAGTTTTTCTGCAGACTTATTGAGTGTAATTTACTGAGAATGTGAGGCAACAGTGCAGGCCTTGTACTACGCAGCTGCTGAGAAGGTGAGCTCCTATGAAATCGTTTACCTCTGCACACAATCAGTCACATATTGCAGTTAATTTAGATTATAACACAAAATGACCATGCGGTTATTCTCCTTTTCGTTAGACCATTTTATTTAGACTCATCACTGTAACAGATGAAAGAATAAATTGGTGCTTAAAGGTATTTACAGTATATTGTTTGATTTACTCTGGGGCATGCCTCTGCTTTATTTAATTAAGCGCAAATCGGGTTAATTTCATTTACTTTCAAATATAGTGCAACAAGCCATATTACTTCTGTGAAAAATAATTGTAGGGCTGGGAGATCTCAAACGAAAAAATTATACTGATCTTGATTTTTTGATTACATTGTGGTGCGTAAGGAGCAGAGTCGGAGGCTGTGTGTCAAACTGCGGTGACAAATGTAGTCGTTTTAATGCCATCAAACAGCCGGTGTTAACATAACTTTCCTTACACAACCAAAACTTCTCAACAGGGAAAAAATGTGCTGCACAGGTATATAACGTCCCCCCGCAGAAAACCACGAGAGTAACCATAGTTCCATGGGTGAATTATGTAAAACCACCACAACATAAACATTCCATACAAAATCCCAAAAAATTCCAAAATCAATGCATAATAAAAAGCCAGCCACAGCAAAAGGGAGGACAAATGAGGTAAAAACTCATGCAGCCTGTTTTGTTTTTTACTGTTATCAGTACTACTGTATTATTTCATGTCTGATAATTCTGCCTTTCACCGTCACTTTACCTGTTGATATCTTACTGTATTATTCATATCCATCTGATAATTCTCCCATTCAAGTCACTTTACCTGTTGATATTATTTCTGATGTTTATTCTGCTCATATTCATATCCTCATATTCTCCGCTGCTAATGTTTAATATAGACATCTGTAAATACTCCGAACCAAGTGCAATTATAGCCCAGAGTTTCTTATTTTATTTAATTTAATTTTATCTTAAATTTAGTGTCTATTATCTTAAATAATAGACTTTGATGTGTGCAATCTGAGTGCTCTTATTTCCTTTCTCTGCTGTAATGTGCAACGATGACACTGAAATTTCTCCACTGTGAGACTAATAAAGGTTTATCTTATCTTATCTTATCTTATCTTAAAATGAATGAATGTAACTCTTATTCAGCCTCTTCATCTGTTACTACCACATTATTGGTGTCTGTCAACTTAAATTCAGGCACTGACAGTAACAATCTACAAAACTTGAGATTGCGTTCTTTCTCAATCTTTTGCCTGCGGGCCGATTGATTTATTTTATTTTGCTTGCTTCAGTGTTCTTATGTTTTTGCTTTGTGTAACAGCTGTGACGGCAAAACAACAGCGCACACGACGTTGTTAAATATGAGGCACAACACATAAATTCCCTGGCTCCCGCGCATTCGGCATGTGTGACATTGATCTCTCCATGTCCACAACAATGTCTGTTTAGCTTCGCAATCACACAAAGTGGCCACCAATTACACGCTCCATCGATTTGAGCTGATGCTTGGGAGCTGCCGGACGGGACATTCGGCCTGACACATTACGACGGCGCTCTTCATCAAGCCTAAAATGATAGCGGACATGTGAGCGACGGCGCCGATGTGAGATAAATCACGGGGCTGAGTGATGGCGGCGCGGGGTCAGGACAGCTCATGTTCACACACAGACGGATGGAGACAAATAGCCCCAATATATTGTACTGTTTTTCTATTTCAATTCTGGCTCGGCATGCGGGGAGTGAAGAGAGCGTGGATTGTACGGACTGCTTTTGCTCCATACAATCAGCACTGCACTGCAAAAAATGTATAATGTTTAGAATACATCTTTATTTGTATAGCACTTTGCAAAAACAATACTGTACATACAAAGTGCGTCTCATACTGGAAAATAAAGCAGACAGAAAGACGACGTACAACATTAAAAATACAACATGGGAGATTAAATTGTCCAATGGGTCAAGCATTTCAGTCGAATTTCAAGTGCAGTTGTATTTCCATTCGCCCATTCTGCTTTAAGACAGTTTTTCAATTTAGTGTTAATTAAGAACAAAGACCAAACTGTTTCATAGTTTAAAAGAAGAAAATGAAATAAATATCTGAATAAAATAGTTAAAATGTTCTCGAAATAAAATGTCCATATTCAAGCCACCATATTTATTTTTTGTATTTTCGTCATTTGGCCGCTACGGTGTATGAAAACAAGGCGCTAATGCAAGTAAATTATAGTTGCTAATCATTAGTCATGGAGTTCTCCACAAATTTGATTGGAATGAATGATGTATGCTTTGTAAAGATAAACTATATTACCAGTAAGTTTCAATTTAGCACATTTTTTATATTTGATCACAACATCTAACATCTATAAACAGTATATCTATGTATTTCTGTGTATATACAGTATAACCTGTATATGAGTGTTTGAAGTTAAGTGCTAAAAATATATATAAAAGAAATGCTATTGATTCTTTTTATAAATATTGAATGATACAACAAAGCTAAAATGATGAAAAAAAGTACAACAGACTACTTTAAAGAAATCAGGGAGAAAGATAATTCAAATATTGAAATAGTAAGTAAGTAATCTTTATTTACACGTATATACCGCCTTTCACAGACCGGAGTCACAAAGCGGTCTACAATTGTTATTTTTGGGCATTTGTCCTCTCACTCCACACAGAGATGGGAGCGGGTCGTCAGTACAGGAGGCACATGCCAGACTTAATGTACATGTTTTTAGTGGTAGGGGAAACCGGAGCACCTGGAGGAAACCTACTCCGACACGGGAAGAACATGCAAACTCCACTCAGAAAGACCCTGTTCCGACCGGGATTCGAACCCAGGACTTTCTTGCTGAGAGGCAAGAGTGCTATCTACTCAGCCACCGTGCCGCCCGTGCAGCCAAATTAGAATGCCTTTAAGATGAGTAATACATTCAAGCAGTTTGCTATTGGGGTTTTTCCTTTTGAATTTAAGAAATAAAATCTTGCATCATGAACACATTCCTTACACATTTGACTTATTTTCCATGATTTTATTTTTAATATCATTAATATCGTACAATTATTTATTTATTTTCAAATGACCCTGCACTCCCTTTTGCGTCTCGACCCACCAGTTGAGAACCGCGGTCTTATATCATGGATGCTGTTGCTATAACCTGCATGTATTTTACATCCCTCGGAGCGTTGTCAGGGAAACAATCTTTTTATTCTGTAGACTCATTTCCTGATGTTATAAGTTGGATGATTTATGCTGTCAACGCGTTTTGAACAAATGTGTGTATTTGAAATGCTTTCTCCTACGTCTCATTTAATGCGCAGAAGAGAAAGTGTACGTTCAGCAGAGTTTCCAGAGACGTCTTACAAACCTTGAGATGTTTTAATTTGTCAATTCATCTTCTTGGTAAGCACTGGATCACCTTGTCTCATATAATGGCCTGTGAAAAATGTGATCGGACAAGCGTGGAGTAGAAGACAGCACTGTGGGGGGGTAATTAATATATGCTCCTGTTGACTGATGGACACCTCCTCTTTCTGCTGAATACTGAGTTTGTCCTGTTCATGGGGAGAATTTGTTAATCCAAATGAAAAGGTGTACTTTTTTTTTACAACGTCAACGTCTCATTATTCTACTAAAAATGTTCCTGTAAAATAACAGTAAAGAGCTGGCATTAGGGTTGCCAGATCTGTACTGTTATCCTTACAGTAATAATCCGTAAAAAGAAAAACGGTATATTTTTCTGTATTTCTACAATTTACAGTAAATACCTGGCAGCAGGGTTGCAGTATATCGTTATTTTACGGTATTCATAGGTAAAATGATTTAACAGTAGTCATCTGTAAATCACAGTTTAATACAGTAGAAGAAATGTTACAAGAATACATACAGCAGATATTATTTGGATAGTTCAAAGACATTATATATAGGCTGCTATTATCTTCTAATAGTTTACTGCAGACCAACTTCAACTCATCAAAGCAAAAGAAAAATAACGTATGATATTCATCGTTGTGAATACTCTCTGCAGCATCATTCCAATGTTTCCTCTGTCAAAAAACAGCAATGGTAATCATCGTAAACAGGAATGGTTTCACATTTAGTAATCTCAATGCCAGACTGTTAAGAGCTCACCAATCTAAATAAAGTTCCATCCAAAGTCAATGAGATTCTTCAGTTGCATGACAACATATTGAAGAATAACACCTTTCTTCTTAAATAATACCCGTTCCTCCTGAAATCAAAAGAATCTCGGATCAGACTGGAGTTACAACATTATCCTTTTTAGATATTCAATTAAATGCAAATTATGTGTGTTTCCAGATATTGGGTCAACGATACACGTCTTTTTTTTCTTTTATTTAAAAAAAAGTATAATCAACATGATAGCTAGAAT